TTGAAAGTCAACCGACAAAAAACATCGGATGCCGATTCTTTTTTTTCTCCCATGGACCTCCACTGTTCATCTGAGAGTCCGTTTGCTCTGCGATGGGCTTTTCCAGGCCTTGACGCTGGACAGGTTGCCATGCAAGTTGATGGGTCCATTGCTCTGCCACAGCCCACCTTGGGGCTTGAGGAAGGCGAAACGTGGTTTTTCGTTTGCTTGCAAGCTGCTGCATTTGTTTGTTGGACGTTTTCCATCTTGCTGATGGTTGCTTGTGCTGCCTTTGTCAGTCAATGATGTGAGATGACGGTTTGGAGTTTGAGGTTCTCGTCTTTTTCAGCAGTAGTCGGGGGGGAACTAGCACGCAACAGAATGCCCTGACAATGTTCACAGCTGGCGCCGGCAGGTTTGGCGTGCCTGAGAACAAAGGCGGGGCAGCGAAAACACGGGTCTATTGATGCAAGCGCTCAAAGCCATGCCAACGCCCGTGTTCCAGTGGATTCCAGCGCCATGCCTTTTGTGTCTTGCAATGCGGACCCACGCTGGCCAGTCTGAGTTGTCCGGATTTTTTCGGGGATAGAGCTTGATACTTTCATCCACTCAGATTTCAAGAAGCCGGTTCGCATTTTGCCACACTCCTGGTGCTTGCAGGAGCTGCGACGGCCAACGGTGTTGTGAACCACAACGACCTGACTGTCGTGGTGGGCAACGATTTGGACGCCCTGAAGGACCTGGGGGCCGGTATGCTTGCCGGCACCCGGCTAGGCAGACACGATAGGCTCAGCTCTTTTCGGCAACCATTCTAGTCATGGCTCAAAAGGTGATCGCCTCTTCTTGTTTTTGGATCCCAAAGGGGTAATTGAGAAGGTGGCATCAACCATTGCAGTCCAGGACTCTTCCTGCGGGTAGATGATACTGATATAAAGCGCATGTATGTGCATGCTGATCATGTGGGGCATCCACCAGCGGATGTGAGATGTAGGCGCCGAAGCTCGCATGTCAAAAAGGCAAGGGGCTTTGATGCAAAGATACATGCAGCCTGGCTTGTAGTTTCGTACTTTCGCACGAGGGGTGAAGCGGCCAACTTCTCATATGCAGAGAGGGGAACATACCAACGACGAATCTTAAACCGCTAGAACTAAATTGAACAAAACCACCTTCTAGTTTGGTGCCTAACCCTTTTTTGTTTGTTTGTTCTTTTTGTTGAACACCTTCCAGTTTTGGTGCCTCACCATGCAGTGCCTCGGCATCTCCATGCAGTTGTCACCGAACTGAGTCTGCGAAGGGCTTCCGGGGGGCAGCCTTCAGCAGCTTACCTCGCGACAGCTTAGGAGCCCAGCAGAGCCTTGTCGCGGAAGAAGTCGGGCGCCAAGCGCGGGGCCCGAGGAAATTTTGGAAACGCTGCGGCCCAAAGGCTCGTGGCCATAGGTGTCCTTTTTGGTGGTTTTGGTAGAAAAATAGATGGCCCCGGAAAACACCTGGTGATTTTTTCTCATCTTCCAGGGACACCACTCTATTTCCCCTCAAGGACACCTATGCTCGTGGCTTTTTTTTCGGGGGTCCAGACAGTTGGAGCCTCCCATGGCTGTGTGCAGTTCGGTTCGGAGCTGCAAAACCAAGAAAAAAAAGGCTGATTGATGCTGAGTCGATTTGGAGAAATCGGCTGCATGTGTGTCCGTGCTTACTGCATGGCTGAAATCTCAGCTTCCCTCCATCGGTTTGGAGCCCGGTGGTTCGGATTTGGATTTGAGGCCCTTCTTGTAGGGGGTACATGGGAAACGCCCCCCGTTTTAGTACCAAACCACCGGGCTCGCTCCAAACCAGCAATCGGTGGGAAGCTGAGGATTGTTGAGCAGTCCGTTAGGGCTGCATGGTTCTCCTTGGGGCCCGCCTCGCTCGTTTCTTTTCTCAGAACCCTCCTTTTGGTTCTCGGGGAAAGCGAGAGATCATCCACTGGCAGTGAATGGTTCTGCATCTAATTTTGTGACGAGCTCTCACCGATTCGGGGGGGTACAACGAGCTCACCATGAAAAAAAAAGAGAGCAAAAACGAGTCCTTCACTTGGGGGCTCCAATTCTTCTTTCAGTTTTTGGATCCATTTTCTATTATCAAAACCCGCAGAGTGCATTTATCATGTCGCCAGGTGCACAGCGCCTCACAGCCAGGCGTTCTGATGGACCCCCCGAAAGGGGAGCAAGCATGCTGAACAGGTTGCGAAAATTTGTAAGCCTCTCTTAATGGCTATAGTTTTGAGCTTCCATTTTGGCTGGGAGGAGGGGGGTGAAGAGAAGTTCTCCTCCTCGTAAACACGGATCTTTCGGAGATTGCTTTTTTCCCCAAAAAGGACGACATATCGGTGTGGCGAAGCACCGTGTTGAGGATTTAGAATGTCTGCATGCGACAAATTGAAGCAGTCCTCTGTGCCAAAGGGGATCTGAACCCATGCTTGGCCCAGGCAGACCATGTGGGGGTCGATCAATATTCCAGTCATGGCCCCTAAATGACTATGGGTAACTTTTCCCATTTGGTGGAAGTATAGTGTTTTTTTCGTGGTTTTCCCCGCGGACATCCCATGTAAGACATCCCATGTAAAGGGCCTTTTGCTCAGCCCCACGCCAAAAAAACAGAACACACGTGGCGGCTAAATGCGGTTCCCTCCCTAAAACCTGTCATGGCTCTCAGTTCAGAAAGCTGATGAAACGAAGGAGCTTCCATGGAATCGCCTGGACGGCAAATCTTGACAGTAGGGTGGTTGCGCGCTGTCTTGAGACACGGGAGGCTTCCCTTGGCGCAAAAAGGGGAGAGCATGTGTTTGCAGTTTCCCCTGGTATTGAAAGGGAATCCATCTCTACTGGACATGCTTTCTCAAATTTCCCCCCAGAAAGGGCGTCAGAGGCAAATGGAAGACAGCAGCTTGTCAAGCCGAGGCCCGGCTGCATCATCGTGTGCCCCTGCGGCGGCGTGTGATTTCGAGCCGAGGCCGGAGGGGCGCGCCTGGCGCGAGAGGCCCCAAACTTGACACCTGTATGTCTGAACTGCTTGTCTTCACCGCGGTTGTCATTTTGGTTTTGCTTGTCTTCACGTTGTCATGTTTTTTTTGGGGAGGGGTTCTGTCCATTTTTAGTAGGGGGCTGCAACATACAACGCTTTTTGCTACCATACCAAGGGTCGGATAGTTGAACTGCTGGTTTCAACCACAAATCCCAATCGCCCAACTGGCACGTCCCTTGTTTGCGAGACTCACACTATTTTGATTATTTGGGAACTTGCTGCTCAGAAGGATGGGACAGATCCAAGAGAACGTGATACCGCGGATGACCCCGAGAGATCTGTGCCGCGGAAACTGAGGCTGAACACTCTAGCCAGCAGGTTGTTCATGATTGATCGTCAAAGGCATGCCTCTCGCATCTTTACAAGGGGTCTGCTCAAGCTAGTCAGAATATGTTTTGCGGATTCACTTGGCCATACCCCGACTCTCCTGAATGAGGCACTGCGATGTTTTGACTTGGTTTCCACCAGCAACGGCCGATGCCAGTTGACAGATGCCTGAAATCGGTCGGCAACTTGTCACGGTTGCAACCTGTCTTGGCTGCAAGTACATGAAGTATCACACGTTAATTTTTAGTTGCATCGCGACTTCTAGGCAGTTGCATGTGTGACTTCTCTGTGTGTGTGTGTGGGTTAGAATCTACGCCTGTGAGTGGGATATGTCGGGCGTGGCTGTGTCGCTAGGGCTCCGGAGCAAGCTTGCTCCATCTTTTGCTGAGCGTGCTGTTGGACGGCGTGCGGCGGCGCGAGGAACGCCGCTGGTTTCAGGAGTTTCGCCTTTTATCAACCAGGTCTTGAGCCCTGGGCATTCATCAAAACAGGGAATTTTGAGTTCAGCAAAGAGGAGGTGAACCACATGCTGCAGGAGAGGATTTGACAAACCTGCATTGCCCCACTAGTTTGTCCTGTTTGGTTTCAGCCTCTCAACATTACTTGTGCATTTCTGCTTCGAACATGCTGATCTGGAATGGACTTTGCGAATATGACATGGCCCGAGTCAGCAGCCAGATGCCGCTGACGGAACTGACCAAAGCTGTCAACTTGGTTTCCGAGGCTTCCTGAAAGGATAGCTTCCTGATCCCCACCGACATGGAACTTGAGAACTTCTTGTTCCGCGGCTGTTTGCTCCCTGTTCCTCTGGGGTTTCGGGATTTCGGAACGCCATGAGGCTCCATGTCTAGGTGGGGGTCAGAAATCTTCAGCCGAATAAAGCTAGGTTTGGTAGGCGCCACCCGGGGCTCAGCAAATGCTGGGGTATCTTTGGCTGGCTGCGCGGTGATTGAGGCCCACAGGGTGACGCTCTGGGGCGTTTGCATTTTGAAAGCAAAGGAGATAGCTCAAGATGGCTGTGGTTGTCAAAACCATTGCGATCCCATTTTGAGGTAGGTGAATTCACCACCCATTTTAGAACCTGTTTTAGTGGGGATTGGGATGTTCACTGGGGGGTACGATGTGGATTTTGACCCGTGGCCAGATGATCTCAGAAGAGAGTGTTGCAACAGTTTGGCCCTGTCTCGATTGGCTCCAATGTTCATACGTCATGTTCCGCATGCAGCATGCATCTAGGCTGTTTGGGGGCCACTGGCAACTGACGTTTAACATGTGACAGCCCAAGTTGTCAAGATCACCTGTGAGGACTGAGGCAATACGGAGGCGCCGCGCCCCCGCACAAGAGGTGGCGGAGAAAAACGATGCGCAGTGAGTGCGAAACCCGCGTTGGCATGGCTGGCATGAGGACAATCAAGGGAGACGTTTCAGACTAATTCTGTCAACTGCGGTAAGGTGCACCAACAGAGCCAGATCGGGATCCTTGCTATCTTGTGAGACGCATGGCGCTTGGCTGCCCTTCCTTCGCAGCTTGAGGTCCCTTCTAAGGCCAAGGGATGTGGATGTCCAGCCATCGGTTCGAATTCGCCACTGTCCGGCCGCCGGCCGGGAGAAGTCGGACGTGCCATCGCATTGTCAGCTGGTTGCTCGAGCAGTCCGGCCTTCCGGGCGGTTGCCCGGGTGCCATGGCCGTGGATGAGCCCGCCGTGAGCATGCCCGCCGGGCGCATCGACGCGCGGGGCTCGGCGGCCTTCCGCCCCGCTTTTTCTGATTTGGGGGGAGGTGTCAGATCCTTTCCTTTTTTTTCTTCTCCTAGGCGTCCTGCGGAATACCAGCCCTTGGAGAAAAAACTGCAGCCACAAAGAAAACACTTCTACCGAGAGGTTTCCTTGCAGCCAAAGGGGGGCGAGCATGCGTGAGCATGCCGACTTGATTGAAGGCTGCCCTGAGCTTCCTCATATTCGGGTTACCCCTCCCACTTGGAAGGTAGCATGACTGGACTGCCTTAAGTAGTTAAAGCCCCACCAGGGCGTGCAAGAGATCGCTTGACTTGGGACAAGAGGGGGCTAACCTTGGACTTGGGGCGAGAGGGGTCTGACGCGCTGCATGCTTCAAAAGGATACATTATTCAGTGCACAACCGGCAAAGACAATCACTTAGAAGGGTCCCCGAAGCGCAATCCACTTTATGTAATTTACAATGTGCAGTCTGGCTTTTTACTTACCGCTTACCCTTGGGGAAAGCCCGAAAAAGATGATATGCCCCATTAACTGTGAAACGTTACCCATGGTCATGTGGGGGCCAGGAATATTGATCCTATTGATCAACCCCCGAATTAGGTCCCCCAGTAGTGCCCTTGTACCTCTTTTTTTTGGGAGGGTTCCCCTACTCAAATAGACTACAGAAAAAAAAGGATACCCTTATTCTAACCTCTCTACTGGAGGACCTAGCCAATGACATGTAAACCATGCTGTAGGATTGTCTCTCTGTGCTTTGGATTTTGGGCAGCTCAGTCCCTCCTGTTCGCTGAGGCAAGGGGCGGCGTTGCTTGGAAGGTCGGATGGGCATTGCACCCAAACGGCGGTCACAGGAAAGTGAAATCCGGAGTCCCCCGAAAAGGGGGATCCCACTCCCCCGAAAAAGAATCAGGTGTTTATTGCTCCGGTTCACATTGCCACATTCTTCTCCGCAACTGTATGTTTGATTTTTGCCGTGTGGATGGCGGGCGTCCTGCCCTTCCCATGCTTTCTTCGTTGGTATCACGTCCGCTGCTTGTGAAGGTGGAGTTTCGCCTCGGTTACAAGCAGTGTTTGAAGTGGAACCTGGCCGGGTTGAGCCAAGGTGATGGACCCTTTTCCCAGGTCAAGCCCTGTGATTCAGGGTGCCAAGGCCATGATGTTGCATTCTGAATGGCTCCCTAGCTCCTCCTTTGGTTGGGCCTGTGGTGTTTTAGACTGATGTTCACTCACGCCAGTTGCCTGCTCAATGCCATGCAGAGGCAGCGTGACTCATGGTTGCGGAAAGGGGCAAGTGAAAACCACGCCTCTGGACCCATAGGCCAGGACGTGCAAAGCCGCTTCAAAGTTTTGCCCTTGGCAAGCAACATAAAAAAAGGTGGTTGTGGATCAAACATAGGTACACGACATGGAACCCTGGTCAATGGAACCAAAGACTAACACCTGCGGTCCCTGGTGACTCATTTTGACCCACCCAAGTGACCAGTGCCAGGTGCGCACGGGCGCGAAGCCCGCCTCCGCGCGGCCCAAGGCGGGATCCTCCGGGTGGCTTGGGTGGCTTCGCCCATCACGCGTTGGTCCAAGTGGAGGCAACTTCATTTGGTCTCGGTCTGGGTCAAAATGAGTCACCGCCAGGAATTGGACCGCAGGTTTTGGTCCACATTTCCATATACCAGGATTCCATTTTGGGTACATATTTTTGACCCATGGTAAATCTCGTGGATCCTCGGCTGCGGCCTACCGATTTCTTGTGAAGCAGCGTGCTGATGCATGGTTTGTGCATGGTTTAGTTTTTGCGTGTTCGGTGCTGGCTTGTGTCCAAAAGTACCCTGAGGCCTTTGGGCGATGGCATGCGATGGCTTCAGTGAGGTGTTGAACTGTGTTGGCATTTGGGGGGGCGCTCTGGTGCTTTGGGGTTGGTTTGGTGCCTGACATTGGGTGTTGCGCGAGAACGAAGTTGCTCGACGCTCTGGTGCTAGGGCTGATGTGATTCGCCTGCAGCCAGAAGCTCATGTGTAGCAGACCCGTGCATGCGTATTTTCAGACGTCAGACCTTGCACGGCACCAGCAGGTTATGAGCAGGGTTTTAATCCACTACTTACCGGTACACGATAGGTTAGAAGTTAGCAGCAAGCCACACCTCTATGCGCACAGCCTTGCTGTCCCATTGTGCAGAAGCCATAGCCCGAGAAAGATGAGCACCTCGCAGAGCTTCGTTCAGTTTGCCCTCTCTCAGGAGGCAGGGTGGCCAGAGCTTGAAGTTGAAAAGCTGGAAGAACGGAAGTGTCATAGGTGTCCTTTTTCGTTGTTTTGGTACACAAATAGATGGCCCTGGTTTACCTGGTGGTTTAATCATTTACCAGGGCCATCTATTTGCAATAAAAGGACTTCTATGTGAAGTGCAGTTGCCGGCGTGGGATCTTTGGCTCATGCTTGAACAGCTGGTGGAGTCGTGGCTGTTCCCCCCTCCTGAAGAACAACTGGCTTTGGGATATGGACCAGCTGCACGTCTTCGGAGCAATAAGCCACAAGTATGCCACAAGTGGGCTACATTGTGGACATTTGCTGCGAGAGGGATCCACCTGCAGGTACTCATGCCCAACGTAAGGGTGTCCAGCAAGTAGATTTCTTGGTTCCTGGGGTGAAGGGTGCAGGCAACCTAAGAAAAAAATGTAGCTTGCCTGGTTGCGGCCAATGCCCGGTCTTTCACATGTTGCTTTAGGTTCCTCTGCTGTTATCGGGTTGGATCTTTAGACTTGATAGCTTTTTGGATGCCCCTCCTATTTCCTTTCAACCTGCAAACAGTTAATGTTTTTCTGCTGGAGGATCTGCAGCACCCACGGTTCCTGAAAGGATACAGCAGGGTCCACCTCTGGACGTAGCTCGGGGAAATTCGTTCCAGCGGCTCCAGTGAGGCCTTGCGGTTTGGCCAGTTCACCCTGAAGTCTGGGAGGAGCGGCGAGGGGAAAAACGAGGGGGCGAGAGGCCGGGCGGAGAAAATGCCTCCGATGTTTGAGGAGTTTTCTTTGGTGCAGTTTGCCAAGGGATGTTAGGACTTTATCTTTTTGCCAACTAATGGGTTTTCCATTAAACCACTAAGAGTTGAACTTCTAGCAGGGGAGCAGAAAGCAACTGAGTTTTGCTTATTGTATCATTATTTCTTGTACCCCAGGCGATGTCATGGAAGCTGCCGAACGGACCGCTTTGCAAAGACTTGGTTAGGTCCCACATGTACAGGATCGGCCGATTGGGGGGAGTTTCCGGCTGTTAGTCTGAGGGAGTTTTTTTTTGAGGAGGCAGCTTTGGAACTGGTCTAAAGCCTGCTGAGCTTTGACAGCACTTTTCCCCTGTCTTGAGACTGTGACAGTGCCATGGATTTTTCTGCGCCTCGGAATTTCAGCTTGGATGCCCTGTGAACCCTGTGCACAGCTCTTGGGGGTCTCCACTTTTGTCAAGTTTTCGGAAGTCGGGCCGCTAACCACCTGGAGAGGACCTCACCCTACTTCTTCAACGCGGGGCAATTCACCACCGGCGAGGCCCTTGCTTTGCCCGGGCGCCCGGTGGACGACTTTTTTTTTTCTTCTGACGTTCCGTTTGCGTGAGAATGGGCGTGCCAATGGGCGTAGGGCTTTCCGCTTGCGTGCTTTCGGTGGTGTCGTTTTGCTTCGCCCGCATGGAGAAATTACCCTCCCAGCAGTTCACATGGGACCTGACACGGGGTCGCTTCAAAAAGGAACCGGATCTTCCAGGACCTCTTTGTCATGTGAAAGGGTGGGAGGGAAAGGGCCTCGCCGAGGCTTCATGACAATTGGCTATTTGATCGAAAGGGGAACGCGCCAGTTCATTAGGATGCTCATCAGGCTTCGAAAGGGGCAACGACCCGTATGCCATTTACATATAGTTGACACGCACGCACACTTCCACAATTCTTGCCCATCCTGGACAATGCCTATCGTGTTCTGGCTTTCGGCTGGTGAAAATGGAAGATCTATACTCGATGTGTGCATTGAACATGATGGGGTGGATCATCGGCATCTCAATGTCCTCACTCGCCCAAAGCGAATCGACCTGTTGACCTTTTGGTCTTCCTGGTTTGGTCCATATTTCGTCAAGGTTCCAAAAGCTTGGCCTTTCGTTTGTGGGGCCTTTGGACACCTGAGTGTCAGGATGCAGACCAACCAACTTGATCTGGCTCATCCCAGCTGGGATGGTCTGGTCGAGGGGATTTCGGGGCAGATTGCTCAGAAAACGCACGGTGAGGCTGGGGGAGTTCTATGCAGATGCCATCATGGAGTCAAAAGTTGAGCACCTTGGCTCCTGGGAGGTGCCAGGGGTGGCAGAGTGGCCAAGGCAGAGGTGTCCTTTCTTGGTTTTGTTTTGCCTGGCCAAACAGAAGTACCTGGTGGTTTTCTCTCATCCACCAGGGAAACACCTGTGGGCCAAGCTCGCATCCCTCGGAACTCCATCCTCCGAAGTCCCGAGCTTGCGAGCTCGGGGCTCAAACGGTCCGAGCGCCACCTCGGCACTTGCACAAAGGGTTTGTCAGAAGGTCACGACACTTCGAAACAACTCTTCTTCTTTTTAGAGGGGCCTATTCTCAGAGGTCCGCTGGTAAGTTTCCATTGGGCAATAGGTTGGCAGTGATAAATCTGACGATGCAGGGATGAGAGCTGCAGTGCTACTGGGTCTTTCCGGCGCTCGCATGACAAGCCTCTGGCAAACTCCAATAAGCGGCCGTGCGTGGAGGATGGCCAGTCTTTGTCCAATGCCTAGCTGTTTCCAGCTGGGTTCCTCTTGGAGACTTTGGTGCATTTTGCTTGGATGTTAGGACTTTAACTTTTTGCCAACTATTGGGTTTTCCATTAAACCACTAAAAGTGAGTCACTTTTGGCAGAGGAGCAGAAAGCAACCGAGGAAAGCCATGGCCTGTCCTTAACACAAGTTGTTCTCCACCGGGCTCCCCACTCCCCCCACCCCCACCCCACACCCCCCCACCCCCACCCCCTCACCCCCCCACCCCCCCCCCCCACCCCCCCACCCCCCCACCCCCCACCCCCCCCACCCCCACCTCCACCCATTCCGGGCCCCGACCCCCGAAGCACAGCTTTACCTCGGGCCCAGACCCACTGCTGTACCTCGGCGCGCCCGCCTGGCGAGCGCCGAGGTTCGACGGCATCTTTGGCCCCGCCTACAAGGGGATCCCGCTGGGCGCGTCAGTGGCCATCGCCTTGCACAAAAAGTATGGCCGGGCGGCTTGGGGGGGAGTTGCCCCACTCAAAAAGCCTGGGGTCATTTCCCTTTAACCCACCACTTAGGGGGTGACTTTGATCATGGTAGAACAATGAAGCCAGAAAGAAGTATGGTGGAAGCTGAACCATGCAAAAGCATCTGCTTTTCTTTTATGGCGAGCTCACCTGGGGGTAAAATGAAGTTGAGCCATGCATAAGTAGCATGGTAAAAATCCTTGTGGGGATCCCTAATTTCAGATTCCGGAGCTACTGTAAACATTGCAGAAAAGCATGCATTTGTGGGGCGTTTTTTTGGAGGACCCTGTTGTGGGAGTATTAGAAAACGTCTCCGTTTTCTGGTTTGTTGTGTTGTAGCTGTTGTGGCGGGCCGCGAAGGGGTCATGTAGCAAAGCCCCGGCTTGCGCCTGCCGGGCCATCCTGCTCCACTTTTGGCGTGCTTGGTGGAGTAGCCTCCCACCAACAAACAGGCTTCACGGTTCTTGGCATGTTTTGTTTTTGTTTTCCCCGTTTTTTGGTTCTGTTCATTTTTAGTAAAAGTCTGCAAAAAACAAAGTTTTTTGTTACCATACCAAGAGTAGAGATGATGGGTGTGTGCAAAAAGCCCTTCCCAAGAGCAAAGTAGACTTTCCACAGGGGTTTGTGCATTAGCTGGTGGGAGGGTATGCTTATTTACCGGCTTTCCGCAGTGCATCCCAGATTCCACAGATTTCCGGCGCCAAGAGCTTGCCATGTCCCGAAGGCAAGAACGTGCCGTACGCCTACAACCGCAAGGAGGTGAAAGACCACGGCGAGGGCGGCCTCATCGTGGGGCAACTGCGCCCGCGCGTGCCACTAGGCACCACTGGGGTGCCTCCGCGCGCCTGTAACCCAATATGGCTGTGGGTCAAAACCCATGAAATCCCATTTTGGGGTAGGTGCACCACCCATTTTAGGCCATATTGTAGTGGGGATTAGGATGTTCACTGGGGGTACGGGGTTTTGACCCATGACCATATTTGCCCGTATGTTTCGTTGGCGGAATGTCGCAATTGGTCGCGGAACCATCCCCTCCAAGCGGTTCGTGTTTTCCGCTACCAGTTTTGATCTTGTTCACTTGTCTCGGGCCGGATTGTTGGACCAAGCCTGGCCAGTTGACTGCTGTCCTACATGGCCTCAGTGGCGTGGAGATCGTTCCCTATGGGTGAAGCACATGTTTCTGAACTCTTCAGGCCAGAAATGTCACGCCAGAAGGCACGAAGAGAAGCATTCGCAAGGGCCATTTGGGTAGGTGCACCACTCATTT